CTACCTCTACAGTAAGAGCCCAGAAGTTAAAACAATTGGGGGGGGGGGGAGTATAAAACATATAATCCAATAATCATGAAGACGGTATAGGATCGGCCAACATTTGTTCTGTTATACATAAGGCGACCATGAATTGGAGATGACTCCATGATAACTAACAACAATAGCAATTGAGGCTGCAGGGCTGAAGTTCCGAAGACACCTGTCCAGTGAAGTTTGTGGGAAAGTAGATAGGGAGAAGGGCTGGACTTATTTTTAGGAATCCTATCTTGGACTTAAAAATGGCTAGCTTGAGCCCCTGCATCTTCTCAAGGAAGATTGTGAAATGTTTATCCCTGAAGGAGTTTTAAAATAGCAACAATGGGCTGCCTTGCATTACATAACACACCATTCACCTGAGAGCAGGGACTGGGATTAGCTGACCTCCTGCAGTCCTTTCCAACTCCACAACTGCATGAAATTGGGTACATGGTGTGCTGCCATCCCTAGGCTCCAAGGTAGGCTACAGTTTCCCTAACTCCACCTTTGGGCACTGAGAAGAGGGAAGAAGAGGGAGGGAAAGGTCCTGGGCCATCAAATGAAGGAGTTAAAGAGCAGCTCAAAGTTCATCCATATGTTTGTCAACATGCATGAAGGTATTTGGTTTGTATTTATGAAAACATCTTTTTGTTTTGCCGTAATTCTGAATAAGCAGGAAGGGGGGCTGGATAAATGCCCCCAAACCTTCCCTTTAAGGAAGAGGTCTTATTAGGTTAAATACCTTGTGAGACTAATTCTGGGCATCTAGCATTTGCAACCATGTGTTGCTAAGAAACAAATCAACCAAGCAAAGAAACCATGGTAGCGAAATGCAGGGCACAGTGTGTCAGCACAGTCACTACCCCATTGGGCTCCTGGGAAGCCCAGGAAGGTGGGAGTGGCCAGTTAAGGGGGAGCATCCATGGGGAGCTAGAACTGAGGGTAGCAGCCAGCAAAGAGAAATTCAGGAGTAAAATCAGATGTTCTTATAAGCCAGAAGAAGTATAGATGTCTGGACTATTCCAGGAAGGTGTACGGGTCCAAACCTGCCCTGTGGAAGTGGTAGAGAAAACTTTGACTCAGGAGTCCAGAAACTTGAGTTCTAATCCCAGCAATCCCACTGAATCACTGACTGAGTTTAGGGATCTCTTCTTCCCCCATTCTCTGTTACCCATCTCTAAAATGAAGATTGGACTAAGTGATTTCCACAGTCCTGAGTAGCACTAACATAAAAACAAAAAAGACGCTTTAGGCACAAGATCAGTATAACTCCAGAGCTGGACATTCAGTAGAAGCACTACAGCAACAGCTAATAGACTCTTATTTTGTTGTTGGTAGCTGCCATCAAGTTGACTCTGACTCATAGCAGCCTTACAACCGAATGAAACGTTGCCCAGTCCTGTGTCATCCTCACCATTGCTGGCATGTTCAAGTCCATATGGTGCCAATTTATCTCACTGAGGTTCTCCCACACCCTCAGTGGCCTTCTACTTTGCCAAACATGGTGTCCTCTAGCAACTGGTCCTTCTTGAGAATATGTCCAAAGCAATCAAATCAGATAGTGTTTTGCTGTGATCCATAAGATTCTCATTCACTTAGTTTTGAAAATAGATCACTAGGACTTTCTTCTTAGCCTATCTTAGTCTGGAAGTTCCATTGAAACCTGCTTGCCATGAGTGACTCTACTAGTATTTGAAATACTAGTGGCATAGTTTCCAATGGCATAGCTTCCAGCATCAGAGCAACATGTACTCTACCACAGCATGATAAATTGATAGATGGGTGCTGGAATGGACAGAAAGGAGTTGCAAAACCAAATATGATCTCTTTCCCAGCCCCACCAGCAAGACTGATGCATTGTCTTCCACCTCAGAGAATATAACCCTTATCCACCCAGCTCCTCAAGCCAGAACCTCATTGGCCATCCATGACAATTTATTTTTTCTCATCCTCAATCCTATAAGCAATTTATCACCAAATCCCCAAAATTTTATTTCACAAATAGCTCTCTAATATATTCTCTCCTTGCCATTTCCACTGCCATAACTTAATTTAGGTCACCTACATCTTTCTCCAGGAGCCTTCTAACTGTCCTCTCAACAACCATTCTGGTTTCTCTCCAGATCATCATTCACAAATACAGCCAGAAATTTTAAACCCAAAATCTAATCCATGTCTCAGTCCTGCTGAAAACTCTTCAGTGGCTTCCAGATACAGTTAGGTTCAAGCAAAAACCCTTACAGTGCTACAAGGCCCTGCGTGATTTGCCTTTGATGGTGCCTTCAATCTCACCTTCTACTCTCTTCCTTACTTTTCCCGTGGCCATCTCTCAGTTCTCTCACTAGCCCATGTTTCCTGTAACCATAGGCCTTTTCATATGCTAACCCCCTTCCCTGGAAAGCCCTTTTCTCACCCCTTTGCCTAGTTAACTTCCTCTCTTCTTTGGTCCACAGTTAAAGAATCATGTCCTCAAGGAGGCCTGTCTAAACTCAACCCCTTCCCTGACTCCCAGATTAGACTAGGGCCCTCTGTCACATGCTCTTCAGCTCATCCTGTACTTTTCTCTCATAATACTTACCACGGTTAGCAATTGAATATTTGTGTAATTATTTTTTCAAATCTGTCTTTCCTGCCATGTTATAAGCTCTATGAAGGTAAGGACTATATCTGTCTAACTCACCATTGCAACTCTGACATTTAGGATAGTGTGGACAATTAGTATTTGTTGAATAAATGAATGAATGAATAGAAGGTGGAGGGACAGAATAAAGAGGTGGTTAAAAGCTCAATATTTGGAGTCAGACATAATTAAGTTTAAATCATGGCTCTACCTTTTATTATCTATGTGATATTGAGCAGGGTATTTAGATTCTCTGAGGCTCTGTTTCCTCATCTGTAAAACGGGGATCTTAATATCTACCTTAAAGATATGTTGTGAGATTAATGTAAGGACTTAGAGTACCCAGATACACTAAGTGTGCTAATATATTAAAGGAAGCCTTGTTATAATTATCAGTACCACTACAAACTACAAAGCCCATTAAACTCCATGATTGTGTAACTTCCTACTTCTGTTTCTGTGATTGCCAATGGGGAAAAGTCAAACCTATGAGAACTTGTGGATGGCTTGGAAGTGAGAGCAATCAACTGTCACTTCCCTAAAATAGTGCAAAGCGTGATTGATCTCAAGCTTTAATGGATAAGAATGATCTGGGAGCAGGAATTAAAATGCAGATCCCCAAGCTTCCTCCAGAGATCCAGATTCATTGGGGCTTAAGTGTGACGTAGGGATTTTTATTTTAAGATCCCAGGGGATTGTGATGCACAGTCTGAACACTAAACTTTAAAAAATTCTACAATATTGAAACTAAATATGAATGTTAATAGTATACTCTGACTCATATAAATTCTTTCCCTTCACCCTCTCTGCTCCGTAGCACTTTGCCTGTATCACAGAGGTAGCTCTGGTCTGTGTTTGGTTTAGCTTATGAGCTCCTTGAGGACAAAGACTGTACCTTATTTATCCTTGTATCACCAGGACCTAGCACAGCATTTGGAATGCCATAAGTGAAACCTTGATCTTGATTTCTGGATCTCCAACCTGCTTTCCCTGGTGTGTTACTTGTCACAGTAACCAATATAATTTACCCAGTCATTCGGATCAAAAACCTCCAGGTCTTTGTGTGTGTGCATGCTTTGGGTGCAGATTTGCAAAGCAAATTTGTTTTACATTCAACGGTTCATACACATTTGATTTCACGGCTTGATTACAACCCCCAACAATAACAACTCTCCACCTCTCTCCTCCCTGTGACTACCTTTCCCTGTGCCCTTCTTATTTATGTATTCCTGTCCATCCAGCTTTTCCTCTATGTGAATGCCACCCTGCTGATGTCTCATGGTTGATTGATCTAAGGGATGCATCTTCCTAGGGTAGGTGGGTACAACTCCCTGGGGTAGGTGTTCTGTATGTAGGTCTTTCTTCTGTTGGGCTGAGAACCAGTCCACAGAAGTGAGTCCATTTCTAGGCCCGAAGGATAGTTTCGGGGGTTCTACCAATCCCTATCTGATCAGTAATTCTGGTCATTTTTGTGAAAACCTCTAGGTCTTCCTTGAATTCTCTCTTACATATCTAATTCAATCCATCAGCAAACCTTATTGGCTCTACTTTCAAAATATGTCCAGAATCCAGCCACTTCTCACTACTTCACTGCTCTACGTGCTGACCCAATCCAACATTCTCTCTTACCTATACTACTTGCTCTTCCACTTCAGTCCTTGTCACTACATAGACTATTCCCTACCCAGAAGCCGGGTGAATTTTTAAAACATCTCAGACATGTCTTTGTACTGCACAAATCTTCCGGTGATTTCTCATCTCACTCAGAAGAAAGCCAAAGTCCTTATCATGGGCCACAGGCCTTCCTTAAGTCATCTCTCCCCACTTCCACTCCATCTCTTTCCACTCTTCCCATGCTGTTGTCCTTACTTTTCTTGGATACTCCTGCTTCAGTGTCTTTGAATTTGCCTTGGAGACTGAGATCTATGTGATTTGCTTCCTTTGCTTTATTTATGTCACTGATCAAATGGAATCTCCTCAGAAGGCTCTAAAGTAGCTACTCTCCATCACACCCCTTGTATAAATGGGAAATAAATATCTTTTTTTCCTTGACCAATGACAGTTGTATCTAAGGATAGGCAATGGGTCAGAATGAGTTAGATATGGTCTGAACTATTTTTCCTACTGTCTTGCCTTGCTTTGGGTTCAGGTCAAATGTTTCTACTTCCTGTTCTTATCACAAAAAAATATAGAGTTAATGAGATGGCAAAGCCTTGCATATTAAAGATAATTAAGTCATCTTCAGGATACAAGAAGACAAACAACAGTAACTTTGGGGATTCATATGCATGCTTTTCTTGCTCAACATCTCTGTGTTTGATGATCCTGGACATAGCCATATATTGAATTTTTGTTTCTATAGGACTTCTTGGGCCTACTTTATATGCTGAAGTTGGAGATACCATGAAAGTTCACTTTAAGAATAAAGCCGACAAGCCTTTAAGCATCCATCCTCAAGGGATTAAGTACAATAAATTCTCAGAAGGTAAGAGGAATTCAAAGTCTCTCTGACAAGGAATTAACACCAGGTGAACATTTAGAACCGAATTGTTAACTAGATGTTGTTACAGAAATATCCTTCTCTGCAATTGGTTGTTGTTGTTGTTATGTGCTGTCAAGTCAGACCCGACTCATAGCGACCCCTCCTTGGGTTTCCGAGGCAGTATCACTATGGAAGTAGATTGCCCCATCTTCCTTCCGAGGAGTGGCTGGTGGGTTTGAACCACCAGCCTTCTGGTTAGCAGTCAAGTGCCTTAGGCGCTATGCTACCAGAGTTTTGGTAATTATAAAAATTATTGCATTTATAAGTTTCAGAGAGGAAAATAAAAAGATTCTAGAGTCATCTAATGCAAAATGCAACACACTGCCAAGGAGTCGGATCCAACTCATAGCGACCCCTCCTTGGGTTTCTGAGGCAGTATCACTGTGGAAGTAGATTGCCCAGCCTTCCTTCTGAGGAGTGGCTGGGGCTTTGAACTGCCAGCCTTCTGGTTAGCAGTCAAATGCCTAGGCACTATGCCACCAGAGTCATCTAGACCTTGGTTTTTAGTTAGGTTGTTTCTAATCTCTTTGAACTCCAATATGTTCATCTGTAAAATGAGACTAATAATACATTGCAGTATGGTTTAAAGGTCCCCCAGTGGCACAGTGGTTAAGTGCTTGGCTGCTAACTGAAAGGTTGGCAGTTCAAACCCACCAGTCTGTGCTGCGGAGAAAGACGTGAAAATCTGCTTCTGTAAAGATTCTTGCCTTAGAAACCATATGGGACAGTTCTACTCTGTCCTGTACGCCATTATGAGCCAGCATTTACTCAACGGCAATGGGTTTAATATGGTTTAAGAAATACTATCACCAAACTTTTTGTGTAAAGGGCCAGATGATAAGTATTTTAGGTTTGCAAGCCGTATAGTCTCTACTACAATTACTCAACTCTGCCTTGTAGCACAAAAAAACAGCCAAAGCACTATGTAAACCAATGTGCTTGGCTGTGTTCTAATAAAACTTTATTCACAACACCAAGCAACAGGCCAGATTTGACTCATGAGCCGTATTTTGACATAGTGACTTAGGGCCATCCTGGCACATAGATAACACTCAATAAGTGGTACTTGGTGGTGGTGGTGCTATAAGAAGTATTAGAATTTTGAACATAGTGAAATGTTAAAAACTTTGAAGATAGAGTTCAGTTTAAATTACAGCTTTATCATTTCTGCCTGTATTTTCTTATCTATAACATAGAAATGGTTATACCAACCCCTAAGAGGGAGCTCTGGTAGCATAGTGGCTAAAGCACTTGACTGCTAACCAGAAGGCTGGCGGTTCAAACCCACCAGCCACTCCTCGGAAGGAAGGTTGGGCAATCCTACTTCCGTAGTGATACTGCCTCGGAAACCCAAGGAGGGGTCGCTATGAGTCGGGGCCGACTCGACGGCACATAACAACAACAACAACAAGATTGCTGTAAAGTGAAATCATTTGGATAGTGTACCAAACATGGTTTCTAGCACCTAATATTGCCTCAATAAATTATTATCATAATGGTGATCATGATGATGATGGTGATAACAGTGACCACAGCAGCCACAGCATAGTCAGTAGCTGTTTTTGATATTGTTCTAATTACTCCCCTTATGCTGATATTCAGACTACCATGAGTAGAGAACAGTTCTGTCAGGGACTGGTTTCAAGCAGCAATTGCATCTTTGTTGTACTAGTTTTTGGTATAATAACATTTTTAAATGATAACCACAGATTTCTCATGTGCCTTCTCCAACGATACTTTTGACGAAAGGAGTTGAGTACGAGAGTGGTTAACAATACATGTTCTGGAACTGCACAGGCTGGATGTATATCCTGTCTCAGACACTTACTATTTGTGTGACTTTTAGGAAATTACTTAATGTCTCTGTTCCTCATCTTTCTCATCTATAAAATGAGGATAATAATTATAGCTATCTGATGCAGATTTGTTGTGAAAACAAAATGAAATCTTAGAACAGTGCCTAGTATATAGTAAGCACTCAATAAATATTAGCTATGATGATAAAGATGGTTTTTCAAATCAGAATGTACTCAAATAATTTAATATTTATCTGAGAAGTTATGGGTTATGAAACACTTTTTACATTTGCTATCTCCTATGTATCTTTTTGTCAAACTCGTTCTCACTAAGGTACAAATGACTAATAATAGGTCAATGAACTACCACCTCACCCCTACCCACCTCACCCAGAATATTTACTTTAGCATTTAATCCTTGGCTTGAGGAGAAACAATGACCGTTAACTGTGATATTTCAGGCATTTCAGAGAGCCAGTGTGGAAATGAGGTGAGTGCACAAGAGTTTCTCCTGTGTTCCTAAAAATCATATAGTAACAATATGAACAAACACTCAACCTATTTAAAATATCACATACAGGTTCCATTTTATATATTAGAAGAGGCCAGTGTGGTGGACTTTGTATCCCAGCTGGGCTGTTTGCACAGTGAATGAACCTTGTGACATCATCCCTCTTCGTTTGCACTTATTTGTCCCCACAGCCAGCAATCATTTATGAACAATCATTTAAAATGCTTCCACCATTTCCTTTGGTGCTCTGATATTGCCTCTGGTCCCATGAATCTAAGAAAGGTAAATACACATTGGTGAGAAAAGTAAAAGTTTATATTGAGAACAAGATGCAAATCTAGTAAATGGATAGTGTCCTTCATGGTGAAAGACAATCCTTATGTTCATTTTATCTCACTCCCTTGGTTAAAATAAAACACCCCCTTCCCCAAGTCTGACACTCACTCTCTCCCACAGCCTTCCTGTAGTTTGAGCTGTTTATTCAGAAGTGGAGATAAACTAACTACATGCTGAGCCACCTACCAGAGCATCTATCCCAGGGGGAGATATTTGAGATACTGGAGAATTGAGACAATATCATAGCCTTGAGAGAGAATCTAATCTTTGCCCATCTGACTGCTTGAGCTAACCAGTGAATGATCAAACCTAGATAACTGTCCTCCTATCTGGGACTTAATCCTTGAATCCTACCAAGGATTTGGAGATCTACTCTCATCTTCTAGAAGGAAAAAATGGCCATGCGAAAAACACTGGCTTTGAGACAGATTGTCCTCTATTAAAATCCTAAGTAAACTAGGGAAAATTCCTTTACCTCTAGCTCTCAGTTTAAAATGGGGATTTCAATATCTCCCACATAAGGTTATTATAAGGAGCTGTGATGGTGTAGTGGTTAAGGTATTTGACTGCTAACCAAAAAGTCAGTGGTTCAAACCCACCAGCTGCTCTGTGGAAGAAAGGTGAGGCAGTCTGCTTCTGTAAAGATTTACAGCCTTGGAAACCCAATGGGGGTTGCTATGAGTTGGAATCAACTCAATTGCGTGAGTTTAGTTTGGGTTTTGGAAGGTTATTATAAAAATTAGTTACAATATATGCAAAATATTTGACACACATTTGTCACCAAACAATGATAGCTGTCATTGCTGTGACTACTTCATGGTTATTTATAGAAGCTTAGATTGAATAAAGTCCTTGGACTTAAATGGTGCTGGTTATCTTATTTCTACTCTTGAAATAAAACTTCCTATAGACTTTAAAAGGAGTTCTGGTAGCATTGTGCCTAAGGCACTTGACTGCTAACCAGAAGCCTGGTGGTTCAAACCCACCAGCCCCTCCTCAGAAGGAAGGTTGGGCAATCTACTTCTGTAGAGATACTGCCTCAGAAACCCAGGGAGGGGTCGCTATGAGTCGGGTCCAACTCAGCGGCACATAACAACAACACAACATAGACTTTAAATATCAAAGTGAACTAAAGTTGCATAGAAAATTCAGCTATCCAGAACATATGCAAAAGGAACAATTTGAAGCATTTATATTTCCCAGAGAGCTTGAGGTTTACTTCTTTAGGCATCTGAGATATTTTGTTATAATCACTCTGGGGAGTTATCTCTCTAAATGTTATACTTCCCCAGATCCTTTCAAAATGGAGGATGAGGAAGAAAATTCTAATCCCTTTCTAAATCATTACTTCCAATGACTGTGAGATTTTGCAGATATCCAAAAATGTTACAGTTGTGTGCAAAGAGTAAGCAGACTCTAAATGAGAGCCTAAGTTATTGTCTATGATACTGTCTGTGGGTAAAGACCCTAAGCTTTAATTCATAGATTTCATAGCATCTATTTTGATTGTCCAGAAGCCTTTTTACTTTTTAATTCTTGCCTCTACCTTGATTAGGAGATGGCTAGAAATCTGAGCCCTAGCCATGAAAGATGGTACTATACTCAGTGTGGAAATCTCCAGGGCTTAACACCAGCTCATTCCAGTTTGACCCCCTGCTAATTACTTGCATTTCCACCCCAGATATACTGCATCAGAAACTACATTTTAACAAAATCCCCAGGTTATTCTTATCAAACTTGTCTCAGACTTCTAGCTTCTACTCATTACCCAATTCCAAAACTGCTTCCACATTTTAGGTATCTGTTAGAGCAGCACGCACTTCTGTTACCAAATTCTGCCTTCATTTTCCAGTGCTGCTATAATAGAAATACCACAAGTGAATGGCTTTAACAAACAGAAATTTAATATCTTATAGGTTAGGAGGCTAGAAGTCTGAGTTCACAGTGCCAGCTCTATAGGCTATGTGGAGACCCTCGACCTTGGGCTTTAGCTCTGCCTCTTGTTCCAGGCCCACTGGAGCAAGCTGGAGGCTTCTCCTGACTCATGTAGCTGCTGGCTGCTGAGGCTGAGAAATCCAAGATTGGCAGGTAAAATAGCAGATTGTTGCCTCACAGCCTGCATAGGCAACAGTCTCAAGATCAGCAGGCAATGTGGCAGGCCACTGGCTCAAGTCCAGGAACTAGAGATGATGACAGGCCAAGTACAGGATCCCCAAATGAGCAAAAAGCTGGAGACCTTTCTCAAAGCTTCTCCATGTATACCAGAAGGAGTCCACACCCCAAAGGTTTCTCCTCTTTAA